GCGCGCCGTTGCCGACGCGGCCTCGCCATACCTGCAGATCATCGTGTTTTACCCTAAGGGTCAAATCTCTGAGCTTCAGAGAAGGCAGATGACGACTGTCAGTGGCCCGAACGCCAGAGTGGTCACGTTTGAGGGGGGAGGCGACGATATGGACTTGCCCTTAAAAAGGATCAGTGCCGACCAGGACTTTGCAAAGAAGCACGGGATTTGTGGCATCAACTCCTACAACCTGGGCCGGCCTTTGGCACAGCTGCCACATTTCTTCTGGGCTTACTTCCGAGCCCTAGACCTCCTCGAGGCCAGCGAAGGCACTGAGCTGGACTTTGTGATTCCTGCAGGCGCCTTGGGCAACACAGCTGCGGCCCTGATAGCCCGGCAGATGGGGCTCCCCATCCGGAGACTGATCACCGGAGTGAATCAGAACGACATCACCCACCGAACCGTCACCACTGGGGAGTTTCACCGCAGCGAGTCCATGGTCAAGACCTTGTCGGATGCCATCAACATCCAAGTGCCTTACAACATGGAGCGGATCTTCTATTACCTCACCGGGCAGAGCGCCCTCGTGAAGGCATGGATGGCAGAGATGGATGCCAGCGGGCGCCTCACATTGCCCAGCGACTGGCTCCAGAAGATGCAGCAAATCTTCCTCTCCGCCCGCATCGACGATGAGCTCATGTGTTCCACCATGCGACGGTGCCTGGAGGACTTCGGCTATTTGCCGTGCCCCCATTCGGCGGTGGCCCTGGGCGCCAGCTGGGCCACGGAAAGCGACGCGGCGCGGGTGGTCTTCGCCACGGCGTCGCCGTGCAAGTTCCAAGAGTCCGTGACCACCGCCCTCGGGGCGGAGGCCTGGCAGCGCTTCCAGGACGGCAACCGCGCGTCCCAAAAACCTCTCGAGTTTAGGCGCAAGGCGAGCGGGCGATATTTGCCAGCGCAAGCCAACAAAGTTTGGACCGTCATCCACACGCGGACATCATAGCCCTGTGTTCATGCCGTGAGCCGCTTCAATATGGCCTGATCCTATGACCAGGACTGTTTCAACTTGATGTCTCGTACCCTGGGCACATTCCCTTTGACTCGCTGAGTGTAGCTTTCGCACCTTCCGAAAGCCAAGCGTAGGAGAGCCCCAGCTTCCCAAGCAGCGCCCGAATGCTCTTAGAGGCCAAGGAGACGGCGCCAGGAACTCGGGGCTCGGTACAGGCTCAGCGGACTTCGGAGATTGCGCTCGACTTTTTGTGAAGACGGACTGTGCCTGTTCATGGTTCTTGTTGGGAAACATTTGACATGTTTGCTTATTGTGGTTTAGTGGGAAGCCCCCCACTTAATTGCTAAAACCTAAATTGTTGCTCCCCTTCCAAGCTGGCTTCAACTTTTTGCCAACTAATGGGCTTTCCATTAAACCACTAAAAGTCAAACTGTTAGCAGCGGAGCAGAAAGCAACCGAGTTCAAGACGGATGACTGAGCCTTTTGTGCACTCGGCAAAGTATGTGCAACCAAAAGATGATGGCATCACCTGTTTGTCACTGGACATGTGTCAGCCAAGTGATTCTTTCTTCTCGAGACCAATGGACGATGACGGTAGTTTACGGCCGTTCAGGAAAATTCAAGGGAGGACCTTTGAGTGTTGCAATCAGTGGTCGTTTGAGGGTTGGTCTGAGTAGACATGTCAGGAGTCCTAGCTCTGATTCGGAGTCCCTTTCTGGGCATCACCATGTTGCAAGCTTTCTTAGGAGGCTTCCCTTGTTGGGTTGTTGTGTGAGAGGGCAACCGAAAGAACAGCATCCATGGGGGGTAACCTGAAAACAACGACGAACTATGTCGCAGGCTCTGGAACCGGTGCGGTTCGATCCAGCCATGCTCCAAACCTCCAAAGTGTTGGTATGAAAATTGTGTGGTGGACATAAAGACACCATGGAAACAATGTCCGGCAAAGGTTCCTTGTTCAATTCTAAACTCAAAAAGTTAAGAAGGTCCAGGGACAACCAAGGTTGATATCTGCAGCAAGAAACAGGCTCAGCCTGTCTTGAAATGTGTTCCAGCACTGCTTGCGCATGAGGCACAGCACAGGCATTGGCAGTGGTTGCAATTGATGGACAGAAGAAACCCCTGAGCCAATCAGCTTGATCCCGACAATGTACTTCCACGGATACTGGAATCGCTTTGATGTCTGGATCCGTTTTGTGGTCGACATTCAGTTTCCCAAATGTGAGAGGCGGCAATGCGATCACCAAAACGTGCCAGAGTGCCGCCTTCATGCTCCACATTTTGTGGTTTCTTTCAACTTTTTGGTTGAAATCATTTTGGGCTTTCCACTAAACCCCCAAAACATGTCAAAACCACTTTGTGCAGGGTCCACAGAAACCAAGGTTTGTGAGCCCTTCAGATGCGAGGCCCGATGTCTTTGAGGCAGAAGCGACGCTCGGACCTTAGCCTCGAGCTTGAGACTGCGCTCGCGGCTCATCAAGTGAGAGCCTTGATTGTGTGTCGAGGCTATGCGAATCTCAACGAAAATGGGAGATGAACCTTCGCAAGATGCTTGGCGAATAGGACAGAAAAAGAGTTTGTGGAAGAATGATGTGTAATGTGTAGTGTTGGATATGTATATAGCTAAATATGTGGGCAATAAACACATAATAGGTGATTTTGATTATATATTTAATGTATATAATACCAGTAGAGCCGGCGAAGCCGGTGGGCGGAAGTTTCAACATATAAAACCATAGTTATCGTGGTCCTGCTTGTCTTCTGATTATCTTCTTTATTTTCATTGTTTCTGTTATTGCCATCTGTCGTTCTTTATTTATTTCTTTGTTCTTTATTTCTGTTTACAATATCGATCTCTCGATCTATCTATCTGTCTGTCTATCTATCTGTCTATCTGTCTAGCTATCTGCCTACCTACCTATTTATCTACCTACCTATCTATCAAATGATCTATGTATCTATTTGTCCATCTATCTCTCTCTCTACTTATTCCTTTCTGCACTCCATCTATTTACGTGTGTATCCATCTAACTTTATATCCAGCAAATCTATAGATATCATCTATTTATCTATGAATCTATCTATCTATCTATCTGTCTATCTGTCTATCTGTCTATCTGTCTATCTGTCCATCTAATCTAGTCTAATCTAATCTAATCTATTTATCTATCTATCTATCTATCTATCTATCTATCTATCTATCTATCTATCTATCTATCTATTTTTCCCTCTATTTTTTTATGTTTGTCTGTCTGTCTGTCTTTCTGTCTATGTATCTGTCTATCTACGTCTCTAGCTCTATCTCTCAATCCTTCCATCCCTCTATCCATCCATCCAGTTTGTCTGTCTGTCTGTTTGTCTGTCTTTCTGTCTATGTATCTGTCTCTATGTCTCTAGCTCTATCTCTCAATCCCTCCATCCCTCTACCCCTCCATCTATTTATCTATCCATCCATCCTGTCTGTCTGTCTGGCTGTCTGTCTGTCTGTCTGTCTGTCTGGGATTTGTCCGGTGGGTATGACGTCCCTTCATCTACCTCCGTTGTCGACGCGGATTCCAAGCTTCGGGCTCCGCGTGAAATTCGCTGTGCTGCGTTGCCAATTCGCATTTGATTAAAGCAGATCAGTGCGGACCGGATTCATGCCGATCAGTGCGGGTCACTACGGATCCACGGGTTAGCTTAGTGTGGCTTGATGCGACCCATGACGAATCAATACGGCTCACCATCAAAACCGTTGCCCTTTGTGGTTCTCGACCCGCACTTGATTTGTGCGGATCCGTTCCGATCAGCGCAGTCAGCGCGGATGAATGCTGGCCAGCACGGAATAGCGCTCATTCGGAGACCAGCGCAGATCAGAGCCGCCGAGCGCGGACTCGCGCGAAACAATGTGGCTCAATCAGGCTCGGCCCGGATTGGTGCGGATCAATGCGACTCTGTGTGCCTCCCAGCCGCTCATGCCATAGCCGACTCAACTCGAATGAGTGCGGAGTATAGTGATGAGCGCTAAGTAAGAAATGCGGCTTTTGCTTGTTTGTATTATTTCAATAATTCAATAATAGGTTCTACTCAAAAATGTGTTCTATGGAATTATGATTCTCGAATGTTGGAAGGTAATCAAATTCCAGATGGAACCCGCGGCCTGGTGGCCGCGTGCCGGCGACCTCTGACCGATTGTCATCAAAAAGCATGGACCTACCACAAGGAGAGTCCTCTACAATCATGGCTGGCGATCCATGTTAATCTGAGGAAATTCTGGCCCATATTTGTGAACTGCAAAGTACTCTCCTGCCAAAACACACCCAGAGTTCCTTCCGTCAATTTACAGGGGGTAAGCTCAAAAGAGATCAGCCCGCCCGCCTGATCACTTCTACGACCTTCTCCTTCAACTCGACGGCCAAAGCTTTTGCGTCTTGGCCCGAGCTCCTGGGTCCCAGATCCAAGGCAATGTGGGCCCGCCCGTTTCCCGGGGTCAGCTTTTTAAGAAACAACCAACGTGAGGAACCACTCGTGTTTGGAGGCGCCCTACCTCCATTTGCGAACACGTCCCCTGGAAAAATAAGGAGAGCCGTGGAACCCAAAAACCAGGCAATTGTAAATCACAAGCTCAACCAAACGCGGGTGCTGCAAAGAAAAACACCAACAACAAGAACTTGCTCCTTGGTTGGGATTCGCTCAACTTGTTACTTGGCAAACATGTCACCAAAGCTCCTCCCAATTTCCAAAAGAAGCTTGCGGCACCTGGAGCACGTGCCAGTTGTCATAAGGAGCCCGCAGCGACCTGCACTTCTGAGGGGCGTCTTGCGCGTGGGGAAAGGGATCGCTCGGCTGCGTGGGCACCGCCCGGATATACGACCCACCTTTCTAGCCCAATTGCAAACCAACGAGGCTGGGGACACTGCTTGCGTCAGGGCTCGTCGCCGCAAGGAGTCCCCAAGATTTCGTGGGGAAACGGGCTGACCCTTTGACCACGAGCTGACCTGCAGCCTTCCATGAGCAGCGCCATAAACCCTGACAATACAAAGTAGTAAAGGGGGGTGTCCTATAGAATCCCCGCGAAAGCCAAAACACAGGCCGCGAAAGCTGGCGCAAGCTTATCGCGAAAGTAACCAAAGAAGGTCCCGCCGCGAAAGACCCGCGAAAGCCTGCATGCTGTGTGGCAGTCCGCCGCGAAAGCGTCGCGAAAGCAATTGTAAAGAAAACAAAGCTCGCGAAAGCAAAACATGGGGTCGCGAAAGCATCACGAAAGGGTCCGCGTAAGCAAGTTCATAGGACCGCTTTTTACACAAGAGTATTTGGCACGGCTCAAATGGACCAAATCCCACCGGCCCCCGGCACCCTCCATTACCTCCACGACTGTTTCCCAGCCAGAAAAACAACAAATTGCAAGCAGTGGTAGATTTCCTTGCAAGCCAACAAGGAAAATCCGGCCTGAAAGGGGCGCGTGCCAAGGCTTTGCCCTTGCATCTTCTGCATGTCTAGCGCCTGGGCGGGGGTGTTGGCGCATCATCACCGCCCGCGCGGCCATTGGAGCTCGAGTTGGGGGAAGGCTGAAAACACTGTAGATACGCAGCAACCCGGCTGCATAGCATCGCCGATGTCCTCCAAAGCCCCTGTGTGTTGCGCATCGCCTGCATCACCTGCATCGTTCGCGCTGGCGCCGCGTTCGGGGCCAGCCTTCCGAGCCAACCCTGATGGCGCGTGCGCGCTCTCGTTCGTCCATCGCGCGCGCGCGCTCCATCCATCCATATACTCCATCCATTCATCCACCCATCCAAATCCATCCATCCATCCCATCCCATCCCATCCCATCCCATCCCATCCCATCCCATCCCATCCCATCCCATGCCATCCATCCATCCAGCCACATCCATGTCCATCCATCCACATCCATCCTCCATCCATCCATCCGTCCGTGCGTCCATCCATCCATCCATCCATCCATCCATCCATCCATCCATCCATCCATCCATCCATCCATCCATCCATCCATCCATCCATCCATCCATCCATCCATCCATCCACGTCGGCGCGGCAAATCAAAATGGAAACCGATTGTGAATGTAGCAAGCAAATCAGGCTCTCGATTTTCCTTTCACACGCGATGACTCAAGGGCCCTCGAACCAGAATGGCCCAGTCATGCACTACATGTTCAACACCCTGGCTTCAATCTATACAAATTACAGGGAGAATTCACACTCAACCTGCTTTCAGGTGTTGAACCGCTTTACAGCAAAAGAAGATGCGACACTCGGTCACACTTCTCTCATGACTTCTCGTTCGGATCTGTCTCAACCACGTAAACTCCAGTGTTGATCACCTTCCACATGAAGTCCGCCTTCATTGGCTTTGTGAAACAGTCCGCAACCATAGTAGCAGCTGCAATCCAGCGAGTGCGATCTCCTCCTTCTGGAAATGATACTGCTGTACGCGTTCCGTCTTCATTCCACAATGATTGTCTGATGGCTGCTATCTTAATGGATAGTCTCTTATCTGCTATCTTCGGTGGAACCTTTGTGTTCAAATGGGACACAAGCGATCTGCAATCGCTCAAGTAGGTGTGTGGGACGTACTTCTTGATGGTCTCATACCAACCGGTCAAATCCTTCAATCGCCCCTGTGTCTTACATATCACTGCTCGGAGCTTGTCACCGCTCTCGACCCCATTCTGCAAAGCATACGTCTCTGCCTGCATGGTTGCGCGACAGACCCGCTTTATCGTGCTCGATGCAAATTCCAAAGGCACCACCTCAAACGTCTCGCAATTCTGATCCCTTGCTTGCTCACTGGGTACCAAGAAATGGAAACGCCGCTGTTGTGACTTGTGGTTATCCTCATTTGCAAAAGAAGCATCCGTGACCGTCAGAATACCGACATTTTGCCGTCAAGCCTTCCCGCATGGAAGCACAGACTCGGCCCTATGCCTTCCAACGCCAATTCGACGGTCTTGTTGGCCTCTTCAAGGTAGCCACAGTGGCTGCCTTGGTCAAAGACTGCAACCTCGACGTCCTGTACAAAAGATCAGGGCGTCCCTGCCTGGCAATCCACGAAAGAGATCCAACAACTGCGACAGTTCCAATGGGTTTACTGCATCGGTCATTTTTCTACCTGCCTCGATCTTGATCATGTTCAGTTGTCACCCACGTCGATTTTGATCGCGCCGTCCTTTTCTTGACTAACACGCTTTCCACAATACCTGAAGTTCCCTTCTTCGCTGCTTCCGACGACAAACTTGCTCAACAGGTTCTCGATAGTAACCCTTCCGAGTTCAGTGTGGGCATACAAGAAATCATCCACGTGAGTGGTCATCACTGCATCTACACTGCCATCCGTAACATGATAATAGAACGCAGGAATGATCCTACTCGATGTCAGCCCGCATGCCGCTGCATCTGTACTCACTTGCAACCAGAAGCCTCGACCACTGTCAGTCAAGCCATAGACGGAAACGTCCGGAAGTCCTCCTTGAGGCTGTCGCATAAGCAAAACGCGATCCAGCTCTTCGCTTGGAAATACGCGGTGATGTCACAAGACTTCACCGGCACTTGATGAGCTGCTGCCCAAGCACGC